CACACACACACACACACACACACACACACACACAATCAATTTTTTGTTTGTCAGTCTTTCTTCTGTTGTTTGTCCTCCCCCTGATTTTTTCTAAGTTTTCTTGTGTGCCCAACTGAGCACCCTTAAGTAGTGCCAAACAGTTGGTGGTCCCTCGTTTGGAGTGCCAACTGCACTCTTAGGGGGGTTGCTTGGTTCGGGGCGTCTGTGTTGCCTGTCGGTGATGACGGATGTTCGGCGGAGTGACTCCCTGGCTCATTGGGTGGTGGGAACCAACAGTCTGCGGTGTTCACCCGTGATGTGAGTAGGTCATGTGTTGCTTTGCTCCGTGTTGGATGTGTGGGCTGCCTTGTGCTGTCTGCGCTTCGCCGTTGCCTTGCTGCATATCCCGCTTGGGTCACGTGTTGTTCGTTGTGTGCTGTTACGTTCGTTGTGCAATCTGGTTGTGGTAGTCGTGTTGCCTTGTGCTTCGTCGCGCTGCTTCCAAGCTGTCCATTCATGTGTCGTGCCTTTTGGGTTCCTTGCTTGTGGGTTGTGTAGTGTGGTGGTCTTGTGTTTGTTGCCTTGTGCTTCATTACATGGGCGTTGTGTTGTGCCTCCACTTGCGGTGTTGTTCCTTGCAGCCACCTGTGTCGTTCTGCAGTTGAGTGACTTCAGGTGCGTTGCCTGGTGCTTCGCAGAGTTGTTTCTTGCTCCCGCCCGCCATTTGACATGTTGCTCCTTGCAGTCGTCTTTGGTGTTGTGCGGTTGAGTGGCTTCGGGTGTGTTGCCTGGTGCTTCACACGGGTGCCGCTCGCTGCTATGCTCCGCTTGTGGGCAATCTGCCTTCAACAAGGGTCAAAGGGTTCATGACCCAAAACATCCAAAAGTTCCAAAACCGGTACTCCGCATATTGTCGAGGGTTCAGCCTCCTGATGAGTCGGTGCAATTCCGATGAAACAATCTATCATCAGTTTTATTTTTTTCAGTATTTGCTTTGTTTATACTTGTATTTTTTTTATCTTTGCTTTGTGTAAACTTGTACTTTTATGGTGTTGTTTTTGCATGGTTGATGTTTGTCTTGCTGTTGTTTCCCTCGCTGCCTTATGATGTATGCTTGCCCATCTGTTTACCCCATGCCTTTCACCTAGTTTGCTTTGTTGTTTTGTGTTGTTTGCCTGCCCACCCGCCTCCCCCTTGCCCTCCAACCTTTCGCTGTTGCACGTTGTTTTATGTGCCTTGTCGATTGTCTTATGTCGTTCTTTTTCTAGTTGTGATTGTCTTTTGCTTTTCTTTTGTGGTCTTGTGGCCTAATCTTCGGGCCATGGTCCTGTGGTGTTGGTAGAATTGGTGAAACATAGAGGTCGATGTATGCACGTCTGTTGCTTTTGTGTATGGGATGAATGAGCCTTCTTCATACGATGTGGATCACTCAGCCTTCTGATGGTATGACTTTTGATCGCATTTT